GGTCCGGACCAATAGGTCACCCCCCCCCAGTTAGGGGCCCGGGGGGGGGGGGGAATAGACCATTCCAAGGTCAACCCTAAATATTTATATCCTCCCCCAGCATGCACCACTCTCTGTGAACCTCCTGGTGATTGACTGAGGAGACACATTCATATGTGTGTGGTCCGGGATGAGGAAACTGCTGTGGTCAGGATGCAAGGGAAGTGTGTTGATACTAGAGCCCAAACAGGAAGTGGGGTCCACAGACAGGAAGTGACACTTGGCACAAGCTCGGCCCAGTAAGCAGAAGTCGAGCAGATACTAGAGGGAGAATGAGGAGGAGATGGTTGGACTTATCAACAGGTTACGGGAGTAGGACAGAACGCGTTACCAACCAGGAATCCGTGCCGCCCATTCCTCACTGTTCCTGGTGAAGGAGCGACAAAAACATGACGGCACAGAGTCAGGTGCACCAAAGCGGCCCGTCTCCAGTCCTCCTCTTACCATAGATGATCATAAAATGAGCCAGTCCCCCCATTGTCCTCATGTCTGGGAGGACTAAAGGGAGGGTCAGAGGTTCTTCACGTGCAGCGAGCAGGTTCTGCATCCACAGAGCGGTGGTCGAGCAGCACCTCCGAGAGGCGGAGCACGTCTTCCTTTCCTTTCTTCCAGTGGGCGTGCTATAGAACAGAACATGTGGAGGAGCTGGACTGGATAACCAAGCCCTCGTCATCTTCTTCATCGTCCTCCCAGGTTCAGAGTAGCTCAGGGTCATCTGCAGCTGCAAATGTGTCCTCTTCAACATCTCATTGGCACCACAGTGGCAGGTACCTGGTTGCCATGTTGAAGCCCAGGAGGTCATTCCGACCCTCAACCAGAAAGTAGGTGGTAAGGTCTTGAGGATGCTGGGTCACGAGGTCAGCGGCGAGGTCGTCCAACAAGCCACTGGATCAATTTCATGGCAGGGCACACTATTGGAGCTGGTGGTGCCAACCCACGTGATGCAACTTTGTTTCGGTGATAGGTCAGTCACATCAATCTTCTCTTCTTCATGGGCCTCATCTGGTGCCTCCTCAAAGTCACCAGTTACTGAGAGCCCCTGCAAAAATGCTGCCACGCTTGTATTGAGGTCCAGGAACCACACCTCGGAGATGAGCTTCTTTCAGCTCTTCAGGGGCAGGCTGAGAAGGGGCTGACCCCGCGCCATCTTGTTCCAGGAAAAGTCGTGTCACCAATCTTCTGTTTGCCTTCTGCCAGGGAAAGTCCACTCGCGTGCCTTGTCTGACACTCATCCTCAGCCTGGTGGTGCAGTGGTTTTTCGGTCAGTACCCTGGCTTCCATGACAGTGGCATGCCAGAAGAGTGTGTGGTCACTTCAGGGAGTAATACCCGGCCACTGATTGGTTGGCTGAAGTTCAGTAACAACAACCAGCTGCCTGCCAACCTGATATGCCCACCCGGTTGAACTCAACCTTGGCCACGCCACAGCAGGCTATAAATGAGTACTTGTGTGAATATGGGACAAGGACTGGCTCTGGGGAACTGGCGTTTATCTCACCATGTCCGTGTCTTCTCATTCATAGTGGTGACCAGAATACTGACCCATGATCAGGTGGGGGGATGAGCGATCTGACCACCTCTGGAGAACACACTTCGTGGCCTGATAGACCAGACTGCATAGGAGCAGGACGAAGAAGAGGACTTCCTGCTGTCTCAGGGCCCGCTATATTCTCTGTTCCTGTGGTCAATGATTTCGTGGTCCAGTCATAACAAAGAATGAACCTACATAGATAAACCCTAATCACAATGAGGGACAACGTTCCTCACAACCCGACCATGGTATGGAGGACACTAATGTTTTGGTTCTTGAGGTGGGTTTAGGAAATACTCAGGAAAGGAAAACCTCTGAACTATAATGATCATTCTGATGGACACGGGAGATGACGGACTGAATGTGGACCTCAGCTTTCTAAGTCTCAGATGATGGGGGATCTAGGTGGACCCTCCACACTGTTCTCTCCTTCACAATAAAGTCTCCTCCATCATGACGTCCTTGTAGAGATCCTTGTGTCCTTCATCAGTTGGTTTTATGACTATTCTCACCTCTGTGACCCTTCCCTCCCGTAGATTGTTCTCTGTTTGGGGTGTCTTGATTTCGATGAAGGACAACTCCCTCTCCTCCTTCCATAGCTCACTCTTACGTTCTAATTTTATGACCCCGTGTTGTGTTATTTTTCAGAGATTGAAGGGAAAACCCAAAAACCTCGTCCAGTAAACATCACTGTCGGTGAAAACAACTAAAGTATTATGTACAGAACCCGACTGTACTATCAGAATGGAGGTCAGTCCACCCAACAGTATAATGGCAGTTCCTGGTGATGGAAACCAAAGAGTGTTCCAGAAGTCAGGACCTCACTGTACGGTGTCCTGAAACCTGCAGGATGAGGACACGCTGGGACAGAAGACCAAATCCCGGCCGATATGTTGTCACCATTCTTCGGGATATCGTCTTTATCCGTATTCCTTTGGCATGACACGTGAATGTAACGTTTCGGAGCCTCACAGGTCCCCTTCGTCAGGCAGAGTGTTTGGACGCTTTGCCTGACGAAGGGGTCTTGTGTGGCTGAATGGGGTGTAGACAACATATCTTCTAGATTGTATTCTGTGGCGCCATCCACCAGTTGTTCCAGCACCCGTTGGATTCCGGGGGTATAACGGTACGGTGTGCGAAGGGAAAAGGAGACAAAGTCCCGGTGTTCTGTCGAAAGACCCAACTTATCGAGTTCTGGGACCGCCTGACTTCAACAAAGACAAAGCCGTGTTCACACTACGCGACGTCTCTCGGGGCTGCAGTTCCTATGAGCTCCACCAGGTGGTGATCTCACCCATACCCAGACAGGAAGTCTCTATGACTTCAACAGACAGGAAGTGATGTCAGATACAGACAGGAAGTGCTGGGTGAGGTGTGAGTTGAGAGGAAGTATAGAGGAGACATTGCTGGAACTGGCAGCAGAGGAGGTAATAAGATATTATATATATATATATATATATATATAAAAAAAAGACACTCCTATTTGCCCCCCCTAACCTTCCCCCCCCCGTCATGTCCGTCCTCCATAGTCACTGTGACCTCTTTTATCTCCGGCAGATTCTTCTACACACATATACAGCGGAGATGTATATTAACCCCTTCAGGGTCAGAACTTTCACCGGTGTATGGGGTCAGAACATTTCCTTTATTTTGGAGATGTATGACCTGTTCACCTGAGCAGTCTCTTGTATCGGGGGTGAGATTCGGATTGGGGTTTTCGGGAGATTTGGGTTGACCCCAATTTCCAGGATTTAAAATTTAATCGAATTTGAGGTCGATTAATTTTGGCGTTCACCCGTAATGCCCTGCACAGCCTTTGACACTGGTCAGCAGCCAATAACGGGGAAGGAGGTGGATAACTCCGCCCCTCACTATAAGCAGGGGTGGGAGTTCAGCCATTACCCTGCCCCTCACTAAGCTGGGGCGGGAGGTCAGCCATTACCCTGCCCCTCACTACTAAAAGCGGGGGTGGGAGTTCAGCCATTACCCTGCCCCTCACTATAATCAGGGGCGGAAGGTCAGCCATTACCCTGCCCCTCACTATAAGCGAGGGTGGGTGTTCAGCCATTACCTTGCCCCTCACTATAGGTGGGGGTGAGAGGTCAGCCATTACTCTTCCCCTCACTATAAGCGGGGGTGGAAGGTCAGCCATAGTGGATGCTACACTCTCCACCCACTAAACATCTTTGGTCCCCAAAGAACAATGCTTGAAATGAAAATACATCCGACTTTGAAAGAGTACTAAAATAACAGGTTAGTGAACAAAGCATTTAAGAACCTAATCTATCTTATCACTGGTTCTCGAACATTTCACATAATTTAAATACCCACCAAGGTGTCTTGATGGACTGTTCAGAGTCTTTTGAAACCTTGGTGGACAGCACAGGCACCTCCGGTGGTCTATAGAAGGTAGTCACAACTTCCTCAACGCTACAAAAAAGAGGCCTTCATCTGGAGATTCTTCTCCGGATTGAGATGTTGACCAAGAGGCTCCTGCTTCTTTAAAGTTCTGCAAATGCCCGATCTTTCCGTCGAGGTGTGTGCAGTTTAATCTCTCAGGGCTGTGGACCACCTTGAGGATAGGTAGGGAAGGGTTCTTGACTTCTGGACACCCAGCAGGTCTCGTAGTTGTTTGAGGAGTCCGCTCTCAAGGTCTCTACCTTGATCTGGATGAATATCTCGTGGTAGTCCATAGTGATCAAAGAACTTCTCCACTAGAACTTGTGCCACAGTGGAAGCTCGTTGGTCTCCCATTGGGAAACCCTGAGCATAGCAGGAGAAATGATCAGTCACCACCAGAACATTTCCCTGTCCGCTAGTATCAGACTCTAAGCACAGGAAGTCAATGCACACCAGATCCATGGGTCCTTGGTGACCCATTGTAGCAGTTCTGGAGGGCAGAGTCTTCCTCTGCATCCCAAACACGATTGGCCATTACTTTCAACCTCAGCTCTCATGCAAGCCACATAGAATCTGTCTCCAACCTGTTTAAGGGTTCTTTCAGGTCCCAAATGGCCATGCTCGTCATGCAAAGCATTCAGCACAGTTTCTCGAGGGGAACAGTTGCAACCTATCTTCTGAATCATCTAAGGGGCCCCTTTGGTAGACCACCCCATCTCAAAGTTGTAACCTGTCCCACTCTTTATGGACCAAGCAAACTTCTTTCGGTGAATTTGTTAATAAGAGTCCTTGCCGGCCATTTTTCAGAGCTCTCTGTGTCAACCCGATCAAGGGATCCTCTGCTTGATCTATTCTCAAGGCTTTCTTAGTAGGAGTGGGTAGACCTCCATCTCTCATTTGAGTAAGGTTGCAGTATAGTTTGGTGACTCCAATGGCTTCTGACCCAGTGGCTCTCTTGACCCGATGTTCTACCTCTTGGCACAGAGCTCCAATTCTATCTGGTGTCTGATGGGTCCATTCTTCTGCTCGGACACCAGTGTTGTACGGCCTTTTAGATAGGGCATCTGCATCTTGGTTGCCAACATCAGGTCTATACTTTGGACTGTCACAAAACCGTGACAGACCATCTAACCATCAATGTCCCGTAGAGTCTAATTTTGCAATAGTGAAGTGAGTGGATTACGTAATCTGCCCCATAGAGATAGTCTTTGAGGTTGTCGACAATCACCCACTTCAAGGCCAGGAACTCCAACTTGTGAGTGAGATAATGTCTCTCAGAAGGGATGAGTTCAAAGACGAAACAAAAAGTGGCATTTCTGATCAGGACCCCAAGAATTAGAGCAACCACTAAACTGTCTGGAGGCCATAGTTCTTAATTCATTCCGACCTCCATGTCACTTGCTGATCTCCTCATCCGGATCATTCTCTGATATCAATGTTATGTGTCTACAGGGAGACCTTCATAGAGGACTGCACCAATGATGGAGGAGGACCGGAGTCACATGACCGAGAGGATACTAAACCTCACCCTGGAGATCATCTACCTGCTGACCGGAGAGGTAAGGAGGACTCTGGGAGGTCACATGACTTGACCGGAGAGGTGAGGAGGAATCTGGGAATCTAACACGATGTTCCTATTGGTTTCTCCATCCAGAGTTTTCCTCTTCTGAAGTCGGATGAGAATATGACCATCACAGTGCCTCCATGTGACTCCCTAAAGCTTGAGAGATCCAACATGGAGAAGATTCTAGAAGTCACCAAGAAGATGATGGAGCTGCTGACGGGAGAGGTGAGCGGTGCCGGGAATTCTGGGACATGGTCCAGGAACAGACAAGGGATGTGTCTGGATGGTGACTGTATCATTGTGTGTGTCAGGTTCCTATAGGGTGCCAGGATGTCTATTTCCCTGAGGAGTGGGAGTATTTAGAAGGACACAAGGAACTCTACGAGAAGGCCATGATGGAGAATGCCCCGCCCCTCACATCACCGGGTAAAAGGAGAGAGCAGTACGGAGGCTCCGCCTACATCCCCCATCATCTGATACACACATAGAAACAATGTATTCAGTCAGTGTGTGTGTTTCCTACAGATGGATCCAGTAAGAGGAACCCACCAGAGAGATGTCCCCGCCCCCTGTATTCCCGGGATCCCACCCAGGAACATCTCACCATCCCCCACCATGATCAGGTAGATGATTAATAATTATTTGTAGTTGTAATTTATACACACACGTTTGTTACAACGATTGTGTTATGATATATTCAGAGTGAAGACCTCGGGTATAATAACATCGTAGTTAAAGAAGAGTACAAAGAGGAGGATGAGGAGTACGGAGTGATGATAGAACTTTCTGACGGACACAAGAATGTGATGGACCCACCTAATAACATCAATACTCCAGAGAGGTGTCCATGTCCTTCTCCTTCTCAGGATTCCACACAGGAAGATTACCATGATCAGGTGGGTGGAGTTGAGGGGCGGGAACATAAAGTGATTGAACACTCTGTAGGTGCGAGTCTTCCATTGGATAATTCCTGCCGTGATCAATATGTTTCATCCGGCAACAAGTTATTTAACCTTAAAGGATGCTGTGAGGAGCTTCTCATGTCTTCAACAACCGTGTCAGGAGACATAACCTCGGGTCATGGACAAGATGGAACTCTGTTTCAGAAAGGTGAAATTATTGGCCGGCATCAAGGAAAGAAAACAACTCAGGAGATCGCAGATACTACTAAAATTGGTTTGTCCGAGAACTGTCCAATGCATTTTTAAAACCTGGAAGGGTAGTGGTGAACCGTCATCTTCAAGGAAGGATAGTGATGAACCATCATCTTCCAGGAAGGATAGTGGTGAACCATCGTCTTCCAGGAAAGATAGTGGTCAACCATCATCTTCCAGGAAGGATAGCGGTGAACCATCGTCTTCCAGGAAGGATAGGGTGAACTATCATCTTCGAGGAAGGATAGTGGTGAACCATCATCTTTGAGGAAGGATAGTGGTGAACCCATCATCTTCCAGGAAGGATAGTGGTGAACCATCTTCTTCCAGGAAGGATAGAGGTCAAGCATCATCTTCCAGGAAGTATAGCAGTCAAACATCATCTTCCAGGAAGCATAGTGGTGAACCGTCATCTTCCAGGAAGGATGGTGGTCAGCCGTCATCTTCCAGGAAGGATAGTGGTCAGCCGTCATCTTCCAGGAAGGATAGTGGTCAACCGTCATCTTCCAGGAAGGATAGTGGTCAACCGTCATCTTCCAGTAGAGCCTAAAGATTGGACTCCGGAGCAATGGAGAAAGGTCATGTGGTCTGATGAGTTAAGATTTACCTTGTTCCAGAGTGATGGGCACATCATGGTAAGAAGAGAAGAGGATGAAGTGATGCTCCCATCATGACTAGTGCCTACTGTCCAAGCCTGTGGGCGGGGCAGTGTTATGATCTGGGGTGGCTTCAGTTGGTCAGGTCTAGGTTCAGCAACGTTACGTGCCCAACAATTGAGGTCAGCGGCCTCCCTGGATATACGGAATGATCAGGTTATTTCCTCCCTGATGACACATTGGACATATCCCGAGATGACAATGCCGGGACTCATCGGGTTCGGGGAGCATGAGACATCATTGGCCACCACAGAGTCCAGACCTTCACCCCATTGAGAGTCTTTGAGATGTTCTGGAGAAGACTTTACTCTCCCATCATCACTACAAGATCGGTGAAAAATGAATACAACTCTGGATGGAAATCAATGTTGAGACATTGTTTAAGTTTATCGAGACGACGCCACGGCGAATGTGTGCCGTCACCACAGCTAAAGGCGGTCCAATGAAATATTAGAGCGTGTGACCTTTTTTTGGCCAGGCCGTGTGTTTTCTATGTCACCTGACATCATAAATACTTCTGTTTTCAGATATTTTCTTTCTCATCCATTGAAGGACACAGGAATTCAGAAACAGTCGGGTTATACTGCTGTCTACAGGAGGTTGGCAAACAGAAAAATTGTAAGCCAAGCCCCGTATTACCTCTCCTCTACCCAACATGCACTCCTAAAGCACCATGTGCAAATCCAGTCTCTGGTCTGTTTCCATTGCCCACTTATAGTGACCTGGTCTCCTCTGGTCACCTTAAACCCTTATTAGCACCAGCTACCCAGAATTCTGTCTCCTTGTGTACTATGGAAACCCTCGTGGTAGATGGTACCCCTCAATTTCCCTCCTTTCCAGAGGAACCACCTGACCTACAAGCTTGGCCAGGTCAAGTCTCTGCTGTTCCCTTCCTTAAAATAGGACATGGGCCTTCAGAGTACTTTGAGAGCTCCTTCTATAACAGTAGTGATGTCCTAGCGGCTACCATAATGCCCTTTCCTGGAATCCACATTGAGGACCTTCCCTGGAAGGGTCAACTTTGGACCACCAATGTCAGAACCCAAGGCCCTAAATCCGGCAAGCTTTGACAAGATAGGGCCCCACAGGTGGCTATCATTTGTAACTACGGGCAACCACTGGGCTAGGTCATTCACCTTAAATCCTGTCTACAAAAGTATCCACCTTGTGTATTATTTGATCCCGCGCCATATTTGAGGGAATGTCCCCCTTCTTCCCCGTCAGGGGTCTGTTAGACATGAAAGGGACACAACCTCTTAAGAAGGTCTCAAAGACTCTCAATCCTTTTTAGCCTTTCCTTCTTGTATTTTAGGCCTTGGCTTGGGGCAAGACATCAAAATGGTCTCTACGGACCAGGAGGTCCCTGCCACGTACCGTCCATCCCTTCAGGTGAATGGGGTGGTCCCTACCTCCTGCTTGAGGTGACCCCACTGGCAGGGCTGTCCCCATATTCAGGATTTCAATCCCGTTCTCCAAAATAGACAGTCCTCTCCTTATTGGAGGATCTCCTTGTGAGTCTGTTTAGTGCTTTGAACTCCATTGGGCATCACCCAGATGCTGCATGACCTTCACCCCCGGGAAGGTTTGAGATTTCTCTGAACCAAGACATGGACATCTGGCTCTTCTCAATCAGTGATCTCCGCACCAAAGAGAAAGCTCTGCACACTTGGGCGCTGTTCATCTTCTGCGTGGCAAGCAGAGGTAATCACTGGAGGGCTCTGTGTTCCTCTGGATTGCCGGCAGGCAGAACATGCTCAGTCATGGCTGAGGGAACCCCCGATTGGAGATAGACTTTGTCCAGAGGCCTTCATGGGACCTGATCCCCTGGAGATGCTTTCTTCTGTGGCTGATCCATGGCCTCTTTGAGGAAGTTTCTTCAGATCCCATCCTCAGTTCTGCCCTCAATTGGGTCAAAGTTTTTAGCAGTGTGACTAAAGTTCCTGTCCCTTGCTCCAGGACTAGGATGCTTCACTGGACCAGGGGTGGGTCAGGAGATTCATCTTCTATACTACGGTTAGGGAGGTCCTGCAGAAAGACCTCCGGGATGGTTTTGACCATCTTTATGTTCTTCTCTAGTCTGGGGTCAGGGCTTTTAACCGTGTCTCTCATCTTCTAGACTAAGGTTAGGGCGATCCTGCAGAGTTCCCGATGGACACCTCCCGATGGTTTTGAAAACCTTTATGTTCTTCTGTTTTGCACCACTCGAGGGTTAGGGATATTACCCGTGCCTACCTTTGTAGGCGCACCCTTCCCCCCTTTTTAGTCAGGTTGACTTCGGGGTTGGTACCCTTGAGTTCTCTACCAGTCTCGGGAGTCACTTAGCTATCCATTATGGGATATTATTTGATGACTTTTCTCACATCCTTGTATATCTGCAAGATTCATTGCCTGACCAGCCAACCTCATCCTTATTATGGAACTTTTCTTCTGGGGTTGTGACTCGCCTTCACCTGTAGACCAGCTTGACCTCTTTTTGTCCATGGTTTCCTCTGGGAATGTATTCTACTGAAGCTTCGTCCCCATGTTTTCCTGTTCACCACATCGTTTTGGTTTATTTCAGGCACTCAAGCTGTGGTGAAACAATAAGTGCCTTCATGCCCCTGCCTCTGGAAGTCATATCTGGGCCCAGCAGAGTCTCGGAATGCCTCATGGGACTTGTAGCTGGAGTGCCGAGCTTTCCTACCCCTGGTCTATGTTCCTTTCAGGTAGTCATGAGGTTCCACCTGTTTCGGTGGGTTTTGGGTTTCACAACCTCTCGCTGGTTCAGCCTCCGTGTCCCTTCTGGTGGAAACATTTCCACCTTGGTGGTGATCTCTTCCATCCTGGTTTAAGCATCAGGTTGATCACCTGTGGCCTTCCCTTGGTCATTGGCAGCGTCCCATCTTTCCGGTGGCTTCTTCTCATTTGTCCCAGATTTAGGTGTTGGTCTATCAGGTAGCTCCAAGTTACAGACCGTTCCCCTGTCCCTTTTGGGCCTGTCAGTGGCTGGTCCTGAACCCTCAGGCTGCTTTTGGATGTCATGACTCTTCTGAGTTTCTGTGTCCCACGATGGATGAGAAAGAAAATAAGACTTTTGTACTGACCATAAAGTCCATCTCTTAGCGTCCATTGAGGGACTCGGGTCTCACCGTTCTTTTTGCTCTTGCCCTTGGTGGAGCTTTTCCAGAAAACCGAGGCATTCTAGGTAGAGGAGAAGGAGGTATATGGGGCCTGGCTCAAATTTTTTTCTGTTTGCAAGTGTCTCAACCCCCTGTAGGCGGCAATATAACCCGACTGTTTCTGAATTCCCGTGTCCCTCTATGGACTCTGAGACATAGTTTTATAGTAAATCCATAAATCTCACTTTCGCTGCCATTCTGTTGGTTTAGGGTGAAGATCTGATGCAGATGAAAGTTGAGAGTGACGAAGAAGAGACGTATGTGAGGGATGATCAGCGATATACGGAGGAGGCCGGAATGATGAGGACATCCATAGAGGAGGACACTCCTACAGAGATCAGCACAGGTGACCCAGAATATATTCTTCTGTTATCTCTCCTCTGTTCCTGCACACTGATAATCCAGAGTAGCGCGGAGCTGAGTGATGTCAGCCAATAATGGGTTGAATATGGTCACCTCCCTGTACTGATACCCGTCCTGGGGTTCAGCTGATAGTATTAGGTTGGGTTTCACTGCTAGTTCCAGTAGCTCAGATATGAGCCTTTCTTGGGTTGGTTCCTCTCCCAGCAAATTTTACCTAAATTTTATCATAAAACTCTATGAAGTCTTGTTGGGATGAAAAGTAAGGAGGAACCTAAGGACTGAACCACTTCTCTTCACCCCAGAAGCCTAGATCTATGGTCACTTGTTCTGAGGGTCTACAAGTCTGAACCTTCAACCTCTTGTTCAGAAGAGATCACATGACCCCATGGCTAGGCTTGTGGTTGGGTGAAGTCTGCTCTTAGTAAAGGGACTTTTTTTCAGTCCCCATTGGCTCCCCCTCTTTTGACAAGGCTGTGTCAATGTAGAGGTGATCTGGGAGGAGGACCAAAGGCCCTTTGACTGAAGAGGGGAGGAGTCCCGGCTGGTTGGGACCTCCTCATAGAACATCTGCTCCCTCAGACCTCCTGATCCAGATGGAATGTTGAGTGAAGTCATCTAACCCTCTCATATCTCTCCGTCATGTGTTTCTATGTTTCCAGGACACGCCATGGAGGAACCCTCAAAGGATCGTCTGACTTTATCTCCAGGTTGTAAGATGGAAGATGAGGACATCACAGCAGATTGTGCGGGAGAAGAGACAATGAGCTCAGCTATGGATGGTGGACCTCACAGTGTGGGTAGACCATGTAATGTCTCTGAGCAACCTCGTACTGTGAGGGATGGTGCCGGAATTAAGGGGGAGAAGACATTTTCCTGCTCTGATTGCGGGGAAAGTTTTAGTTCTGAATTAGGTCTTACTGTGCATGAGAGATCTCACACTGGTGAGGAGCTTCATTCCTGCCCCGAGTGTGGAAAATGTTTTCTTCATAAATCGGCACTCGTCATACATTACAGAACTCACACTGGGGAGAAGCCGTATTCTTGTCCCCACTGCCAGAAATGTTATCCACGGAATTCAGACCTGGTTAGACATCTAAGAGCTCACACAGGAGAGAGACCATATTCCTGCCATGAGTGTGGGAAATGTTATCTACGGAAATCAGAACTTGTTATACATCAGAGGTCTCACACAGGGGAGAAGCCGTATACCTGCCATGAGTGTGGAAAATGTTTTTCACAACTGGGCCATCTTTACACTCATAAGAGGTCTCACACGGGTGAGAAGCCTTATTACTGTTCTGAGTGTGGAAAGTATTTTTCACGAAAGTCCAGCCTTACTGTACATCAGATAAGCCACACGCATGAAAAGTTGTTTTCCTGCCCCACTTGCCAGAAATGTTTTTCATGGAAATCGGACCTTGTGAGGCATCAAAGATCTCACACAGGAGAGAAGCCATATGCCTGCCTTGAGTGTGGGAAATGTTTTCCATGGAAATCAGACCTTGTTATACATCAAAGATCTCACACAGGGGAAAAGCCATATGCCTGCCATGAGTGCGGGAAAAGTTTTTCACAGCCGGGCCATCTTTATACCCATAAGAGGTCTCACACGGGTGAGAAGCCGTATTCCTGTCCTGAGTGTGGTAAATTTTTTTCACGAAAGTCCAATCTCACTGAACATCAGCTAAGCCACACACGGGAAAAACTGTTTTCCTGCCCTGAGTGTGGAAAAAGTTTTCAGCGGAAATCGGAACTTATTGCACATCAAAGATCTCACTCAGGGAAGATGCCGTATTCCTGCTCCGAGTGCGATAAATGTTATTCACAGAAATCAGAACTTGTTATACATCAAAGAACTCACACAGGAGAGAGGCCGTATTCCTGCGACGAGTGTGGGAAACGTTTTTCACAGCTGGGCCATCTTTACACTCATCGGAGGTCTCACACGGGTGAAAAACCATACCCTTGTCGTGAGTGTGGGAAGTGTTTTTCACGAAAGTCTAGTCTTTCCAGGCATCAGAGAACCCACGCAACTCTGGAGACAGCTTAGTGTACTGAGTGTGGGAAATGTCTTCTATATGGCTATTCAGAGAAGCAAACCTTGATATACACCTCAGAAAATACGTGGCTGACCTCTCCTCTGATCAGAGTTGACTAAAGACTTCAAAGTTATGTCTGGGTTCCTCTGCTAGGGGCGGGGTCACTGTTGGTTGAGTCCTTCTAGCGGTGTAGTCTGATCTCCCTTCAAAGGAAGACAGGTGAGGGAGAAGGTTGTGAATGAAGAGAAGGGGAGATCAGACTACACAACAGGACTGGCCATGTCACCGCAGTAGGGATCAGTCTGCACAGGCTGCTTCATTGACTTGGAGAGCCCCCTACTGGAGGGATGTGGAACATACAAGACCTTCAGATGGAAATCTATGGAGACGGATTTTATGATGAAATATTTCTGTTCTTATAACGAGATTCTTTGTATGTTGGCGGATAAAAGTCGTCTTCGGATTTGTATCAATAAATCTTTTTTTTCCGTTTGTTCATCTTTCTCCACCCAAAACTTTATTTGAGTCTCCATTCCTCCTCTTACCATAGACGATAATAAAAACGAGTCAGTCCCCCCATTGTCCTCATGTCTTGGGAGGACTAAAGGGAGGGTCAGAGGTTCTTCATGTGCAGCTAGTAGGAGGCGAGCAGGTTCTGCTTCCACAGAGCGGTGGTCGGGCAGCACCTCCGAGAGGCGGAGCACGTCTTCCTTTCCTGTCTGGCAGTGGGCGTGCTATAGAACATGGAGGAGGAGGTGGACTGGATAACCAAGCCTTCATCATCGTCCTTCTCCCAGGCATCATCTGCAGCTGCAAATGGACCCTCTTCTTCTTCTTCTACATCTAGTCCCTCTGTAGGGAATGGAGGAGTCAGAAGAATCATTTCAGCCCAGCTTCTGTCACCTGATGCCCGAGGATGAACAACCATGAATGGTTATTAGATGTTGAGGAAGAGAGCGCATGTAGCATGGAGGGGGAGGGGACAACATGCAGGAGGAATCCGTTGTCAGTGATGTTCCTGCAGCTGGAGCTTACTGCCAAGTAGGTTTCAGTGATGAAGATGGTGAGGATGATGAGGAGGCGGGTGGAGATGATAAGGGTGAGGATGTAGATGAGGTGGTGGGTGGAGATGATAAGGTTGAGGACGATGAGCGTGAGGATGTTGATGATGGGTGGGCATGAAGAAGGTGGGGATGAAGAGGTTTGCAGACCACACCTAAGTCCCCAAGAACATAGAGCAGGAGAGACACAGAAATCAGAGAGGTGGGATATCATCCAGGGGCAACTTTCAGAGGAGTAGAGGGAGTAGCTCCCTATTCTACGGGAGGACACAGCTCCAACAGGTGCAGGCCACTGGAACCCCCTAGGTCCGCTCCTCAGAGCTCAGCATGTGGTGCCAGGATACAGGGGTCCCCCAAATTCATAATGTTCTATAACAACACACTTGGGTCAAGGCCATCGTTGTACCGTGTAGTGTTCATTTAAGTGAGGAAATTATTTTTTTGGGCCGTTTTTTTTTTAGTGATAAAAACGAAATTCTAGGAGTAGTTATTGGGACGCAAACAATTTTCGCGCGGTACCCCATTTTTATCAACGAGCTAAAACGAAATCCATAATGAGAATTGTTGTCAATGAGTCTCATTATCGATTATCAGCAGCGCCGCCGCTCCTGCTCCTCCGTTCTACTCCCCGCTGGCGCCGGCTGCAGAATAGTTACGGCTATAGGGGACTACAACTCCCAGCAATACTCTCGACAGAAATCCAGAATAGTAAGGGCTATAGGGGACTGCAACTCCCAGCAATACTCTCCACAGAAATCCAGAATAATAACGGCTATAGGGGACTACAACTCCCAGCAATACTCTCTACAGAAATCCAGAATAGTAAGGGCTATTGGGGACTACAACTCCCAGCAATACTCTCAACAGAAATCCAGAATAGTAAGGGCTATAGGAGACTACAACCCCCAGCAATACTCTCGACAGAAATCCAGAATAGTAACGGCTGTAGGGGACTACAACTCCCAGCAATACTCTCCACAGAAATGCAGAATAATTCCATCAGTTATAGAGGACTACAAAACACGTCACAGAACTTAGTCACATACAGAAGATATAAGCAGTCACCTCGCCTCCTCCTCCGCGGCAGGAACGCCATGTGGCTGGGAGAGGCGTCGGGCTGCGTAATCAGGAAGCTGCTGGGTCCTCCCGACCGAAGCCCCAGCGCTGCCTCGCCGGGCGCTTGCAGGCTGCTCTGCCTCACTATGGTGCGGTCGTTTGGACGGTCAACGGCCACCCCCCACCCCTCATCTCTTGTACTACCTTGGCTGGGTCTGATGGGGGCCCCCCAGGCTCAGGCCCCGATGCAGCCGCACCGGCAGCAGCTCCATGTTGTATATAGGAAGATACACGCCGTGATCGCTTTTATTGTTTTCTGGATCTGGAGCAGCCGGAATGTGGAGCAGTTGCCCATGGCAACCAATCAGTATCTCTCTTCGGTATGCTCAGCTAAGATTTGAAAATGAGAGAGAGAAGCTGATTGGTTGCCGTGCACAGCTGTTCCAGTTTTGATAACTTCCCCCCAACGGAGGCCTCATATCATCATAAAGCAATTCACACAGGAATAGATGTGAGGAGATTGTGTCACTTACCTCAGTTGCCTCAGGAGTTCCCACCTTCCAGCTACCCGCTTGGGATTGGCTGGTAGGTAGCTGACACTTACCTCACAGCTGTTACCTCAGGACTTCCCGCCTTCCAGCTCCTTTCCTGGGATTGGCCAGGGAGGAGCTGTCACTCACCTCACAGCTGTTACCTCAGATGTTCCCGCCTTCAAGCTACTCGCTTGGGATTGGCTGGTAGGTAGCTGACACTTACCTCACAGCTGTCACCTCAGGATTTCCCGCCTTCCAGCTCCTTTCCTGGGATTGGCTGGGAAGGAGCTGTCACTCACCTCTCAACCACAACATAAAACTGTTACCTCAGGTCAGGTGTTTCCGCCCACCATTTCCTTTCCTGGGATTGGCTAGTAGTAGCCGTCACTCCCCTGACCTCATCTCACAGCTGTTACCTCAGGAGTTCCCGCCTTCCAGCTTCTTTCTTGGGATTGGCTGGGAAGGAGCTGTCACTCATCTCACAACCACAACACAAAACTGTTACCTCAGGTCAGGAGTTCCCGCCTTCCAGCTTCTTTCCTGTGATTGGCTAATAGGAGCCGTCACTAACCTGACATGAATACACAACCACAATTCAAAACTGTTACCTTAGGAGTTCCCGCCTTCTAGCTCCTTTTCTGGGATTGGCCAGGGGGGAGCTATCAATCACCTCACAGTTGTTACCTCAGGAGTTCCCGCCTTCCAGCTCCTTTCTTGGGATTAGTTAGGGGAGAGCTGACACTCACCTCACAACCACAATACAAAACTGTTACCTCAGGTCAGGTGTTCCCGCCTACCAGTTCCTTTCCTGGGATTGGCTAGTAGTAGCCGTCACTCCCCTGACCTCATCTCACAGCTGTTACCTCAGGAGTTCCCGCCTTCCAGCTTCTTTCCTGTGATTGGCTGATAGAGGCCGTCACTAACCTGACATCAATACACAACCACAATTCAAAACTGTTACCTTAGGAGTTCCCGCCTTCTAGCTCCTTTTCTGGGATTGGCCAGGGGGGAGCTATCAATCACCTCACAGTTGTTACCTCAGGAGTTCCCGCCTTCCAGCTCCTTTCTTGGGATTAGTTAGGGGAGAGCTGACACTCACCTCACAACCACAATACAAAACTGTTACCTCAGGTCAGGTGTTCCCGCCTACCAGTTCCTTTCCTGGGATTGGCTAGTAGTAGCCGTCACTCCCCTGACCTCATCTCACAGCTGTTACCTCAGGAGTTCCCGCCTTCCAGCTTCTTTCCTGTGATTGGCTGATAGAGGCCGTCACTAACCTGACATCAATACACAACCACAATTCAAAACTGTTACCTTAGGAGTTCCCGCCTTCTAGCTCCTTTTCTGGGATTGGCCAGGGGGGAGCTATCAATCACCTCACAGTTGTTACCTCAGGATTTCCCGCCTTCCAGCTACTCACTTGTGATTGGCTGGTAGGTAGCTGACACTTACCTCACAGCAGTTACCTCAGGATTTCCCGCCTTCCAGCTCCTTTCCTGGGATTGGCCAGTGGGGAGCTATCAATCACCTCACAGCAGTTACCTCAGGATTTCCCGCCTTCCAGCTCCTTTCCTGGGATTGGCCAGGGGGGAGCTGTTAATCACCTCACAGTTGTTACCTCAGGATTTCCCGCCTTCAGCTCCTTTCCTGGGATTGGCCAGGGAGGAACTGTCAATCACCTCACAGCTGTTACCTCAGGAGTTCCCGCCTTCCAGCTCCTTTCCTGGGATTGGCTAGTAGGAGCCGTCACTCACCTGACCTCACCTCACAACTGTTACCTCAGGAGTTCCCCAGGGCAGTGCCCAGCCCCCCATGCTCCCTGTATGACAACCTCTTATTGGCCTTGAACAGGGAGGTTCAAAATGTGTCTCCTATCCACCTCAATGGGATTCCGATTAATCACTTCCTGCCCGGAGCAATTCCATACGATTTGCGCACACCTGATGATAACATTTTTGGCTAGAAAACAGCTCCAGACCCCCCAACAATTATATATTTTCTGAAAGCCGAGGACCTGAAGAATAAAAAGATGCCAGTTGTAATTTGTTACTTCGCACGGTATTTGCGCAAATGTTTATCAAACTGGTCATTTTAGGATAAATCAAACTAAATTAAAATTGAGTGCACTGGAACAGAAGGTAATTGTGACGGACTGAACCGTCACTGGGGCTGCTGGAGGAGCCTGAGGGCTAGCCTCCTTCCTAGAGACTATGGACCAATCCCTATTTGCCCTGTTTCGAGTCCTCATTTGCATGGCGGAGAGGACCTAGGTGAGGACTGGAGGATAGTTTGCAGTTGACCAATAGGAAGGTGGTTGGTTGGGCCACCTTCAAACTGTTGTTTTATATAAGTGTGTGTGTG